AACAAATGTCTCGCTTAACAGCAGAAATTTTAGGTTTTAGGGCTACCAATTACAGGGTGGATCATATTCCTTGTGAGGATCCAGCCAACTTAAAACTATGTTTCATTTGGTGGGATTGTTGTAGAGTAAAATGAACTTGAAAATTGCAAGCTGTAGTTTCTCTTTAAGGCATATTTGGTGGTATGAACACTATGCTAAATCCATGTAACTGATGTATTCTACGTATTGCGCAAGAGACGAAGCGCCTATGCCATCTTATGATTGAACATTATGGTTTGCTTGATGCAACATGCTAAGACAGTATTTCTCTACCTTGGCCGTTTGAAGATAGGTGGACTTCAACTTCTTGGAGTTGAAGTCCACACGCATCTTCAAACAACCCAGGTTGAGAAATGCCATGCTAAGGACAATCTTAGGGTTCTTAGGAAAGGCTGACTCATAGTCTACCCTATCCCAATTTAGTCAAGTGTTGGGTCAACCAAGCAAGGGAACTTTGGATGGAGGGTTATTTGTGGCCCATGGAAGTCTTCTACTCATAGGAATTGCATGCATCTAAACTAGGGGTCCCCAAACTTGGCCACTTCAAGACTTGTGGACTTCAATTCCCAGAATTCTGGGAGTTGAAGTCTGCAAGTCTTATAGTGGCCAAGGTTGGAGACCTCTGATCTCAACCCTGTAGCTTGGCAAGGGAAGTTGAGTGGGTTATTCTGCTTCCTGTCAATGGAAGTATATTTTAATATATGTGAGCTTCTGATCAATATCCCATCCTTTGTTCAATTAGAAGTGACTTCATTGAGATCGAAACCACCTTTCTGAAAACTTGATTTGTCTCCTTTTTCTTTTTCAGAATCACCTCCCCCTCCTTATTCCCGGCTGTCTCCAAAGGATGAGCAAAAGCCATTGAGTAAGTATGTTCTTCACCCTGACTTCCCTCCTCCAGTTTTCTGAGCGTTAGTAAGAGCGTTCCACTTGTGGTGTCCAGAACCGGAAACCTGTATTTTGTGGGCAACTTTTGTACTCTTTTTCCAAAAGGAAGATGGCCACCTTTGGCTTTTCCCTCTGTGTGTCATGCAAAACTTAGACATAAAACATAGAATAACAGGGTTGGAAGGGACCTTGGAGGTCTTGACCCTATACCGTCTCGGACAAACGGCTGTCCAGTCTCTTTTTGAAAACCTCCAGTGATGGAGCAGCCACAACTTCTGGAGGTAGGTCATTCCACTGGTTAATTGTCCTCACTGGCAGGAAATTTATCTTTTAATTCTGGGTTGCTTCTCTCCTTGGTTAGTTTTTCATCCATTGTTTCTTTTCCTGCCCTCTGGTGCTTTGGAAAATAGTTTGATCCTCCCATCTTCAAGGGCTTGTACAGTGAAGTACATGGAAGGCTTGTAACCAGGGGTGGACTTCAAAAATTTTAGTAACGGGTTCTTTGCCAGGTTGCTGGGTGGGCGTGGCCTAGTTGGCCTCCTGCACCACGGCGGGGGGGGTGGGTATTTTTGCCCTCCCCGGACTCCAGAGGCTTTCCTCGTGCCTCCGGGAGGGCAAAAACAGCCTCCCCAGGCTCCGGAAGCCCTCCGGAGGCCGGAAACAGGCCCAGTTCCGGCCTTCTCAAACTTCTGAGAGGCCCATTTTTTGCCCTCCCCTAGCCTCTGTGGGGACTCCTGGGTTGGCCAAAGGGTTCCTGTGCCCAAAGTTTCTGAAGGAATTTAAGATGTGAAAGTTGCATTAGGACTCCCAGTTCCCATCCGCCAGCTAGAGATGCCTGGTCAGTGTGAAACAGAAGGGCCGGCTTACAGGTAGTCCTTGACCTACCATCACAATTGAGTCCAACATTTCTGTGGCTAAGCAAGGCAATTGTCATGTCCCTGTCGGAATCTGATTCCGAGGGGGAGGCTGAGCAGCTGACAGGGAGTGGGAGTCCATTGGCTGTGGAAAAAATGGGAAGGGCAAAGTCCGGCTGGGCAGAGCAGGGGAGAGGGAGAGCAAGGGAGAGGGAATTCAGAGGAAAGTCCAGGCACACCCCCTCTTCATCCTAGGGCATGCAGGGAGGAACTGAGAAGGGAGCAACATGAGTTGCGTGGCTTGCGGGGGAGGAAAGGGCCCTGATTCCCTTCATTAGCTGTAGCTGGGAACACAGTGTTTAAAAAGGGAAGTTGCGCACAGCAAGTTGTTGAGAGCAAATCGTGAGTTATCTGTTATTGTCGAGGCTTATCTGTGTTCCTGGCATCTTTCCAACTATGTGTGTTTTGTTGGCCTTTGAAGCAATTCCTCCTCCTGCCCTGTCCAGTTAATTGCTGCAGCACGATTTTGTGGATTTTTAGTTACAGTTTGTATGTACTTTGTTTTCGGACTGAATTTCCTCCACTTGAAGACTATTCTTGGGAGAATTTTTTTCTCCAGTCGAAGGTAACTGGACATTGGGGGCAAAGTTGGAGGTATTAAAGGGACTTTTCTTACTTCTGTGACTGTGTTGCCTTTGTGCCAAGCCCCAGGTCATCATAGCAATTGTTAAGTGGGTCACGCCTTTTTTGCCACAGTTGTTAAGCCAAATTGTAGCAGTTAAGTGAATCATGCAGTCGTTAAAGCAAATCTGGCCCTCCTCCATAGTCTTTGCTGGCTGGGAAAGTTACAAATCTTGATCCAATGACCTCGGGACAGGACCACAGTTCTAAATACACGCCAGTTGCGCAATGCCTGAATTTGGATCAATTTGTATTGTGTCCACTCTGGATAATAACGGTAGACAGGAAACTCTGAGTTCATGTATCGGAACTCTGCTTTTTGAACCAGCAGGATTGAAAAGAAAAAGGGAAAACGCACAAAATCATTAATTGATTTTGGACCCGGTTTTTAGAGCATATTTTTAAAACAAGTGGCACCAAGTGCAGGAGAGAGAGAGAGAGAGAGAGAGAGGGAGAGACTTAACAAAAGACTTTTAACTTGTTAAAACAAAGTTTTCTTGGTCTTGGGGGAGGAAGGAAGGAAGGAAACAAGAATAAACAGCTTCAAGAATTTTAATAGTGATAATTAAGTTAGAGTAACAATGAGTTGTTTGGAGGCTTAGTGTAACCTTAGCCAGGGCGCTCCAAGTTCCTACTTGTTCAATCCACTCAACCTTGGATTATTTTGGAGGTCCAAATCCTGCCCGTGTTTGCGCCTTGCTCTTCCTTAGTATCCACCGTTGGCATCTCTGGTGAGGTTAGGAATAAAAACCTTGGCGAACTGCAGTCCCACATCTTAGCAGAAAAGACAGACTGTTTTGCCCTGAAAAAAAAAAAAAACAGTTTTTCAGGGCAAAACAGCTATAAATAGCTATATTACAGGTAGTCCTTGACTTATAACAGTTCGTTTAGTGACTGCTCAAGGTTACAGCACTGAAAAAAAAATGATTTACAACCAGTTTTCACACAACTGCAGCATCTCTGTGGTTACCTGATCAAAATTTGGACACTTGACAATTGGTTCATATTTATGACAGTTGCCATGTCCCAGGATCATGTGATCCCTTTTTGGGATCTTCTCAGAAGCAAAGTCAACAGGGAAGCCAGATTTACTTAACCACGTCACTAACTTAACCACTGCAATGATTCACACTTAACAAGTGTGGCAAGAAAGGACATAAAATGGAGCAAAACTCACTTAACAGCTGTCTTGTTTTGCAATGGGGATTTTGGCCTCAGTTATGGTCATAGGTGGAGGACTAACTACATTTTTTTCCATTTATTGATGTCTTAAGACAGGGGTCCTCAAACTTGGCAACTTTAAGACTTGTGGACTTCAACTCCCAGAATTCTGGAAGTTGAAGTCCACAAGTCTTAAAGTTGCCAAGTTTGGAGACCTCTGTCTTAAAAGCTAGCCAGAGTTACTGTTTTGTTCTTGCTAGGAAAAAAGTGATTCTTCCTTTGGGATGGGCTGGAGTAGTATTTTGTGATTAGGATTAGGGTTTGATTTCCTATATTTTCATGAAGAGAGCTACTTAAAAGTCAGCCAGGCAAGAAGGCAGGAGCAGAAAAAGCGGCAGTTGCCTCTAGGTTCACACGTTGCGTTAAACCGCAGCTTGTTTTAACTATTGTTTGTTGAAAAAAAAAAAGGCACGTCCTTTCACTTTCTCTCTTGTAAACCATGATTTGAAATGATGCCTATGGGTCAAATGAAGACTTTTGCAGAATAAACCAAGAGCTGTGCGGTGTTTTGGATTTGACTCCAAAAAGATGTTCGTGAGCTAAAGTACAGATCCTGTCTGAATCTTCTGAAAGCAGCCGTGTCCTTTCTCAGAGGTTAAAACCTTTGTTCAATTCAGAGAAGAGCAACTAAGATGATCAAAGGTCTGGAGACCCAAACACATGAAGAACCATTGGCAGGTTTTGGGTCTGGCTAGTCTAAAGAAAAGAAGAATTACGGGCGACATGATAGCAGTGTTTCAGTATTTGAGAGGCTGCCACAAAGAAGAGGGGGCTCAACTTATTTTCCAAAGCACCTGAGGGCAGGACAAGAAACGATGGATGGAAACTAATCAGAGAGAAGGAACCTGGAATTAAGAAGAAACTTCCCAACAGTGAGGACAATTAACCAGTGGGACAGCCCGCCACCAGAAATTGTGGCTGCTCCATCCCTGGAGGTTTCTAAGAAGAGACTGGACAGCCACTTGTCTGAGATGGTATAGGTTCTCCTGCTTGAGGAGGGGGCTGGACTAGAAGACCTCCAAGGCCCCTCCAGCTTATTCTACTTCTACCTCTACTCTATTCTCTGCTTCCAGCTGTTTTCTGGGATCCCAGAAAACAATGTGGCTGCTTTATGGAGAAGCAGATAAGTCCCTCGCACAGGTGTGAAAGCACCTTTGAGGAATTGAATCAGAACCATTGCGCAGCCCTTGGGGGGGAAATGCTTCTTGGGATGGTTAAAATTATTGGCCACTTTGGAAATAACATGTGCCCTTTTTCCTCTGCTTCCTAGACCTTTCAAATTCCACATTGTCCTACACTGAAACGGGGGCTACAAATTCACCCAACCTCATCGCCAGAGACTTTTCTGGTAGGTAGATTTTTTCATGTGTGCGATACTTTCCGAAGAAAAATACCTTGTGTCTGCGGAGATCCTCAATCATCCAGTTGTCCCAAAGGTCAGAGCACAAAAGGCAACTGGGATGTCTTTGTTTTTGCTTGAAGACGTTTCGCTTTCTCATCCAAGAAGCTTCTTCAGTTCTGGAGATCTGAAGAAGCTTCTTGGATGAGAAGCGAAACATCTGCAAGCCAAACCACAAGCAAAAACCAAGAAAGTCCAGTTGCCTTTTGAAAAAAAAAAAAAGAACCTTTGGGACTTTGTGTACTAAAACAGCAAACAAAAGTGGTCACAATGTTAAATAACAGGAATCAAAATACCTTCACAAGAAAAAGCTAGTTAATATACAGGTAAGTCCTCAATCTGCAGTGGTTCATTTAGCGACCATTCAACGTTACAGCAGCACCGAAAATAGTGAGTTAGGACTGTTTTTCACAGTTTATGACCATTGTGGCATCCTCATGTGTAATAAACACAGACGGCTGAGGCTTCATTTAACATCTTTATAAACATATTAAATAAATTTTACAATGCCAGTTGTAGATTTCTCCACCATGGAGCAAACTCAAACAGAAACATCTTGCAAGCAACTTTCAGCAGCAGCAGCTCAGAAAGATTCACTTTTTTCACAAATCAGTTTCACTTTAGTTCAGCAGGCAAGCAGAGGAGAGAAGCCGTTTCACTTTCAGTAGACAGACTCAGAGCTCAGCATAGCTGCAGAGCTTAATATAGAGCCACGCCTAGGCTACTTCTAGTTTCAGTTTCCAAACAGTCCTCATTGGCTGACTTAGTTTGGTATGCCTATTCATTGGCTGACTTTGTTACCAGGCTGTATTCCAGCTCATGAATATACTCTGACATCACGATCGTGTGATCAAAATCCAGAAGCTTAGCTGGTTCATACTTACCACGGTTGCAGTATTGTGGGATCAACGTGATCCCCTTTTGCAACCTTCTGACAAGCAAAGTCCACGGAGAAGCCAGGTTTTATTTTTATTTATTTTTATTTGTCAATTGCTTGCAAGATAATAGGTATAAGTAAAAACATAGTTATGAATACATGGATACATATAAGAAAATTTTTTAAAAAAATTCACTTCTGCGTTCCTTACAACTGCAATGATTCACTTAACAACGGTGGCAAGGAAGGTCGTAAAATGGGGCAAAACTCCCTTAACAACGGTCTCGGTCAGCAGTAGAAATTTTGGGCTTAAGTCAAGGGCTGCCTGTGCTTCCTCTCTCGCAGGATCTCTTTAACATGGACTTGGAACTGGGGAAATCACTTGCTGACCCCAATAAAAGGCTCCCGTGTTTATATGCCTTTTAGCCACTGGTATTGTTAAAATGTGCCAAGCAATGCATTTTATCAGTACAGGGAAAGCATGAAATACATTCTAACAAGCTCCGTTCCAGAAATGTGCAATTGTCAAACTCATTAAGAATTAACGAGGAAAGAAAAGAAAAACAAGATTCAGTGTATTTGATGGTGGTACTGAAAATCAGCAAGCGATCTTTATCTTTCATGGCCAATGTCTGTTCCTCAAAATAGACTGCAAATGTGCTTTGTGTAAATATTTCTATTTGTCTGAATAATCGTTTCTCCAAAAATTGCTTGAATGCTCATATTTAAAAGTAAGCTTCACCTGTTTCTATTTATAGCCTGAACCTTGAGGCTTGGGAAGTTTCTCTGAAATATTAATAATTTGTTTGCTTTTTGCAGGAAAAAAAAAAACAATTCCCCAAACCCTCTGTATATCACTTAAATTGCTAGTAGATTTTTCCTACTGAATATCGGAGTTAATTAGTTTGCTTTATTGATTTATAGACCATATCAAAGTGCAGAGTTCCAAACACAATTTATTACTAAAATCTGATAAAAACAGTGTAAAATAGAATTGGAATGAAATACAATTTAAAATGCAATTGGAATAAAATACAATACTTTAATATATAGATAAACTAGCTCGATACCCGAAACTATGTGGTCGGGCTTAGATTTGGGGAGGAAAATAAGAGGAGGGGAATTGTGCTTCTGCCTACCAGCATCCATCGGTATTCATCTGGCTAGTGTCCTGTCAGTGTGTGAGAGAGTTGAGGGCTATTTGGAAACTGAAACAGTATTTGCTGAGTGAGCAAGGAGACAGCAAGGAGCCTGGGCATGGCTTAGCTCAACTGTTCTATACTAAAGCTGGTTGGTGCTCTGAAACTAAAACTTCTCTCCTCTGCTTGTGTTTTGCACTTGGAGCAGATTTCTTTCCAGGTGGGGAGGGGGAGTAGGACTCCTTAGCATCAGAGCGTGTTAATAATAATAATATAGGAAATACTAATAGCTCTGATGGTCGTTTTGAAAAATCCTTTCTTAGTGAGCTAGAAGCCAAAATTTCAAGTTTGAAGGCTGTACGGTTCTGGAGATTTTGTGATGATGGATGAGTGGTATTTTGCTTTTCTATATATAGATAAATAATAAGTATATTACTGCTTTGAAACACATGCAAATGCATATAACTTCTATAAGTACTGTAATGCATGTTGCCTCTCCTATTTCAAAAATTATTCCTGCCCTGTTTAGCAAGGAGTCCAGTAATGGTCTTCCTGTTTTGCAGGACTCTTGTTTGCTCAGGAACTTTGATAACCTCATTTTCACCTTCTCTTGTTATTGTTTGTGAAACTGCTAGTGTAAGGAAGTAGGGAAAAATTAACATTACTGATTGTAGGTCCTTTCTTTCTTTTTTCTTTTTGGAAAATGTACTCTGCAGGCTTCTGCTCGGTTTAGATTTAGAGCTCACTAACATGCACGTAGTTTGTTGCACCCAGAATGAGGTTGTTGGTGATTTGTATTTAGAGCAGGGGTCTCCAACTTTGGCCACTTTAAGCTTGCAGGACTTCAACTCCCAGACCCCTGATTTAGAGGAATCCCACACGGAGGGTGAAAGGAACCTGCTGAGCAAGCCCACCTGAAGTTATTAACTCTCAGGGAGGCTAGCGGTATTGATGGAGTGACCAGAGCAGTGGTGAAAAGGTGGCCCTGGTGGATCCATCCAGGCTGAATGATTGATGGAGGTCCTTTGGTGCCGTTTGGCCCATTGAACAGTGACATGGCGTTGCAGCTGCAGATGTTGGAAATGAACTTCAAAATGTGCAGGTTGCCTTTAACCTTATGGCCACCATCGAACCCGAAATCTCTGTTGCTAAGTGACAGTTGCTAAGGGTGCTTTGCCCCATTTTACATCCTACCTTGCCATGGTTGTTAAGTTGTAAAGTGTTAAAGGTATTGAAATTTAAGAGCTGACCAACAGAATGGATCCACAGAAGTTTTGCCTCTTTTAAGAGGTGACTATTATAAAGGCAGCCATTAGAGGGCGTGTTCTCTCTCTTTGTGTCCTGTAGCCATTGCAGAGTTCTCCGTGTAGAGTTAAGAAGATTGATTGCTTGTCAGGTGTTTGCCTACCATGTATATGTCTCTATGCTGTGTTTTGCTCCTGAGTTGTCTCATAATAGTAGTGACACTGCAAACATGCTGACATGAAGTCAGCAACATGGACCTGGCTTCCCCATTGAATTTGCTTATCAGAAGGACACAAAAAGGGGATTCACATACCAGGACAATGCAACCGTCATAAATATGAGTTAGTTGCCAATGTCTGAATTTTGATCACATGATCATAGGGGATGCTTCAAAAATTGTAACTGAGAAATGGTCACAAGTCCCTTTTCTCGGCGCCATTGTAATTTTGAACAGTCACTAAACAAACTGTTATAAGTCAAGGACTACCTGTATACTTTTTGTTTTTTCAGGGCCCAAGCATAGGAACACGATGTTCCATTAGATTATATCTGAGCAATTGTCATCTGTGGGTGAAGTTTAGTTTATCCACCCGGGGAATGTTTCCTATTTAACTGCAATTGCTCCTAAAAGCTGTTGGAGCAAATGAACTCCGGCGGATGTGTTACTTAACTCTAAACATGGTGGGAATGTAAGGTCCCCCAAAAAACAGAGCTGGGCTATTCCCACAGCCTGGTGTGCGCAGGAAACCGTAAGGCCTTCTCTTTTCTTCTCTCAAGATGGGTTGTGTGCCAGCTCGGAGAGGAAAGGTTGAGAAAGCTTCCAGAAATTTGATTCCAACGTGTAGGAATGTGAGATATTTTTTGGGCCTCAGGAAGGGACATGTGCTTGCGTGGTAGAAGAACTCTGGCCTGTCTTGGCTTCTGACTCAGCTCTGAAGCTCAAGTAAATACAGTTTCTGACCACTGACCTAGAAGGGAGGGGTGGGGGAAATATAAGGTGCTTTTACTATCAGCTTTTGGACGCTGAGCTCTGCAACATTTGGCGTGACCCAGCGCCCAATTCTCTCTCTTTAAATGAGCTGTGGATGAGCGGTCCAGATGTTCTTTACTTCCAGTGATGGGTTCATGTGGCATCTTACCTTTGCATAACCGTCAGAAGCACACACACACACACACACACACAAAGTGGGCTTAAAACTTTTCTGCTAGAACAAAATAACGATCACTTGGTAACCAAAATGGTAGTGTAATTGGATATTCCCGTCTCCTACTGTGGAATTTCAAGCGGCTCAGCTTTTCATAAGCGTCTAATGTGGGTTATTTATCTTTCCCCAGTGGGCAGAGCTGCATCTATATAGGATAAGAGGCTGGCTGCAGTTTAACCCTTCCGTGGCCAGATTTAAAGCAGCCGTTTGGGGATCGGTGAGCCAAATATCAGCCTTCCCTGATCTGGGAGAGGCACCAGATGGGTTTTGGCTGAAGTTGTTGCCTGAACTGGCCAGCGGGAACAGCCCCCATGCTGGCGGTGAATTGGTTGGAACCAGCATTACCCAAAGGCTGCTGAGGTTGAGGACTCCTAGCAGAGTCCATTGGATGAGTCTGATGGAGAGCTGGGGGCCCTCCGTAGAGATGTCGAGGGGTGGCGCTTTCCTTTCCTTTCTGGATCGGAGGGCAATCTGGTTGCAATA